CGACTCTGTTTTGAGGTTTTTGCTGCAGAAAAACATAGAATCTCTTTTCATCAATAAAGATGGAAACAAAGCAGTGTTACACAAGGATAGTTAAATGCCCTGGTTTTTGCAAAATAGTTGTTTACAAGTCCAACCATTAACTAACTGAAGCTCAGAGCACTTTTTTTTTCAGACTACACGTGTTTTGAGTGAAAAAATATATAATTGCAGCAAACAAGTCAGGGATGTGTTTTTATTAGTGACAAAGGCAAAGAATACATATTCTGTATGTGATTAAAACCATCTGGGAGTTAATTAATTGCCTTAGTTGCATTAGGGTGTGTTGTTAAATTTAGTAATTACCGACTTGTTAAACTAAAACCAACTAGGACATCAAATGAAACAGCTTTGGGAATTCAAGACTCATCTAATTAACAAACTTCTTACAATCTCCTCCACTTTAATTATGTTTATCAGAATATTTGAAGCATCATGGAGTTCAGACAGATGATAGAATTGATGCAATCCTGATCTTCWATTGTGTCGAAGTGAGGCACGCTTCAGTCTCTTTGGTTTTCTGTGTAATTGTTTGCCCATCTTCTTCCCTCCYGCCCGCACTTTTCTGGCAGCGCATCTACGGTGCGAGTCGGGGGGTCAGCTCCCTCAGTGGTGGCCCTCTCCATGTTGTGCTGACCTACGACAAGAGATGCTCCTCAGGAGGTCTCCGGTGACTAATAGTGCGCATTCTCCGTGCCATGCCAAGAGCCGGCACCAAGAGCTGAGTGAATAAAGCACAAACAGATAAGCYCAGCAGGTGGAGGAAAGGGAATGCAGAGAGAAAAGAGGGGGCACATTTGACGGAGAGATACTGGCGCCCTCAAGAGAAGGGAGCGTGGACTGAATCAGGACAGACAGTCTGGAGAAGGTTTTTAAAGAAAAAACCTGCTTGAACTGCACATTGAAGGATACCTACAGTTCAAGATGGTCTTTTTGAAACTTTTTCCAGTAGAACCTTTTCTTACAGTGGATTTAATTTAAAAAAAAATCCTACTTGTTTCATTTTGCCACCAAACAAAAAGATCAAAAGTTTCCCAAACATTAAAAAGAGCATCATCCTTGTGAATCATTTTGTTTCTTTTCTACTTTTGAACTTCTTTAGCACAAAAAAGTCTGTGCTTTTTTCATCCTTAAAAATAGGCAGTTATAATTGCTAAAATAAGGGTTTTATTTAGATCCGTCACTTTATTTCCTACTTTGTGATTTAGAATCTACAAGAGGCTTAGCTGCTATCTAGCTCATGAAAAAAGAACAGATTTTCATGTCTTGCTGTTTTGGTTTTGTTTAGTATGTTTGGACCTGGTAACAAACTTGATAAAAAAAAGGAATTCAGTCTCAGAAAACTAAAAATATATGTTGCACAATTTCATTTAAAGCTTTATTTTGTTGATCACTATCGTGAATGTTCCAACATCTTTAGTCTGATGGGTTTATATCGTTCCAGATCAGTCAGCATAAATAAAATAAATTTCATTTTAGTTTAGTTTCTATTTTATTTATTATTTTTATTTACTGCTGGTTTGCAACATCATTAGCTTGAGAAGCTGTTTCTGCTGTTAGCTCGGGCTGCAGAGCTGCTAGCATCACGTCTCTGCACAGTTTAGATCAAACGATAAAGTTTGAGCCAACAGGAGCAGCAAAGTTGGGCTGTTTAATCACCTAATTGTGTTCATTTTTAGATTTCTGCGAAATCCTTTAATGAGTTATTCATAATTTGTTACTCTGAGGGATTTGTCTCCTTAGTTGAGGGTTTGTTAAAAGAAAGAATAACTTGAATTAAAGTATTACCCAGAGGTCAACGCTGAAAGTGAAGATACTAATTAGTGTCCGTTTGTTGTTTATCATCTGCAGATGTAGAATTAAGAGAAAATGATTTTATGGATTAGCCAACTGTTACAAACTCAACAAACAGAATGTGATATTTACATTAATGACAACAGCAGCACAAGACTTGGATCAGAAGTTAAATAGATAAACATCTGGTTTATTAGTCAATTCTTTTTAGATGAACAATTTAAATTTGTTTTTTACAAACAATATATTTATATGTGACATTTGTTTTAATAAAAATGTGCAAAATAATTAGTGATCTTAGACTACCAGCTGCTCCAAGTACAACATGGTGAGGAGAGAAGAACGGGAGTCTGAGTCTATGTTTACACTTGGAGCCGTGGGAGCTCACAGTGTGAAAGCAAACAGCACAGCATGAAATTTAACTGGAGATAATTCACATTTATTTAACCCACCATGACCTGACTTTACATCCACACAACGTAGTGTTCAAAGAGAACATTTCAACTCTGTCATTTTAGAAAAGAAACTTTGTACTACAGGCTGGGTGTGGCCAATTCCCTAAAGTGGTCTAATTTACATTTATCAGGTTCTTAGTTGATTTCTTATTTTTTTCTCTTCACCATAAACAACAGGTTTTTGTTCTTGCATCCTGGATCTTGTTCTTTTGGTTATGAGCTACCATCTCAGTACAATCGTCTCAGCTCCTTCACCATCACAGACCAGAGCAACATCCTCATTGCTACAGACTTCAATTAAACATTAACCAACACACTAAAACTACGAAAGAAAAATAATTCTGATTCAAACGTTGGTGCATGAAAAAAAAACTAAAAGTCGGTGGTGAATTTAAAAGTTTAAACATCTTCATTGAAAGTCTGCCAGCAGAAAAACATTGTGGCTCAGTGGACGGGTTTAGCTGGCAGCAGGCTGGAAGGAAACTGTGTGTGTGTGTGGGGGGGGTCAAAATGAGAGAGAGAGAGAGAGAGGGAGAGAGAGAGAGAGAGAGAGAGATTTGAAATGTTTGAAAAAGCAATATAAACATTATAGGACAAGATCTGAAATGATTAATAAAAAGATGGAAAAATGAATTAAGGGATCAAACAGAGACAGAAAGGACTCGATTGATATAAAAATTTTACATGGTTCTGGACCACAGTCAACAAGGGTCAACTGTAACAATACAATAACACACACACACACGTCTGGTTGTTATATCCCCAGGTTGACCGTGGATTGACTTCCATTTATTTTTTTGAAAATTTTATAACCTAACCCTGACCATTTTCCCTAAAATTAACCTAAACTCAATTCACACCATGGTCCTAAATCTAACCCCCACCTAAAATTTACATTCGGTCCCCATGAGGCTGCTTTTTTCGGGAAAATGGTTCCCACAATGTAGCAAAAACGTGTCCACACTTTAACTAGTTACTTGATATTAGGATGCAGGCTGCAAGTATACTGTAAGCCATCTGCATAATGGAAACTGAATTTTACAGTCATACCTGTTTTGTTTTTACTAATTTAAATTCCAGTCAGATTGATTAGATCTAATTATGCAAATGAAGTGGGCATGACTGGTGAACAAACCAGCGAGGCAAAAGTCCAACAAACGCTGCAGTATCGATTTTATCCTTCAGCTGTGTGTGTGTGTGTGTGTGTGTGTGTGTGTGTGTGTGTGTGTTTAGAGGTAATGAGCAGAAAAATCAAACTTTTCTGTCATGATATGTGTCAGTTAATCTCTGATCACTTTTTGATTGCTGAGAGTGATTTGTTTTTAATACTTGAACTCAGTCAGTTTATAATTTGTTATATTTTCTGCTTGGAGAAACATTTRGTCAAAGCTGAAAGGTTTCAGAAAAGAAACAGTTTCGAAGCACGAGTGAGCTCAGAATATCAGTAGCAGTGACCCGTTCAGATAGAACCAAGTACGATGTATATTAGAGGATAAATTTTTTAGTTTTTACAAATTATCGTCTCTACAAGATAAAGGCGGATTTGCCTTTGAATTGGGGTTTCTTTGTCAGACTGTTACCAAGTTATCACATGAACCACTGGATGAATTTTAATGAAATAGGCAGAAATTATTCACTGGATGTTCATCTAAAAGTAAGTCAACCCTATTCAAGATGGCTGCCACAGCCAGCTGAACTTTAAAAACATAAATGGCGGAAACTCAATCAGTTTTACAAATCCTCAGCTCAATTTTGACATGGCAGTAGATATTTTCTCACCTTCCCTACCTCTGCACCACCCCTGCCAAAACAGCTATATATACTAAATATATAAACATTCAGATGACAAAAAATTGTGCAGATTATTGTTTAATACTGAATTATTTACATTATTTATATTTCAGCCGGTGTCACAACAGATGAAGTGTTTCGCAAAGTAGAACCAGGTGTGAAGAGAACGACTAAAAATCTATAAAATCAACCAAGAAGATCCCAACAGAACCACAAAATGCTAAATCCAGGAAAGCAGAGCAAGAAAAAAATGAAAACAAATTCATAAATCACAAAAATAAAGACATAAGTTAAAAATGTTTTATGTGAGCAGAGACCTTGAGAAGTGGAATGCAGGGACAGGTTGGAGAGAGAGAAAAGAAGGTGATGGTTATGGGCTCATTTTTGCCAGCATTGTTTTGCCTTTCTGCCTTTGCATTTGGAATTACTCAGCAAACAACTGAATGAATGTCATGGTTGAGAAGCTGTAATTGAAAMAAATAGAATTGAAACTGGAAGGCTCTGGGAAAATAAATCATCTGTCAAGGCTGGAACCAAGTTTGTAAGGGATTTTTTTGGAGATGGAGGAGTGAAAACGGAGGCTGGTAATTGCGTGGCTTCTGGCCTCACAATATTATGCCTTCCTGACGTTTGCGCGTCTTCCGTCGATACACGGAGAGAACAGAAACAAGAGGCTGCTGCTTCTTTTTTCTCTCTTCCTGATAAAAAATGCCAGATGAGGAGGATGAATGGAGCGACGAAGGAAAGAAAGCCCTGTTCCTGAGTTTATGGCTTTCTTTAACGCGTGTCATTTTGTCAAACTTTGTCAGTCATGTTCATCAATGAACTTGGATTTTAGACCCCCCCAGGAGTCTCAGCAGGATGAGTGATGCATGAAATGCACTAACACCCTCGTCTCTGTGTGTCTCTGTGTCTCTCTTCTCTGTCTTTGTCTCTCCTCCTCAGGCTCGGTGTCTCTCAGTTTATTCCTGCTGTCTGTTGCGTTCGTAGTCTGTGCCGTTTGGCTGGTAGCTCTGTGTGGCGTCTGCACCTGGTGTCAACGGAAACTGGTAAGTTTCAGTGTTTCTCATTTTTAGCATGCAGAACTAGAGACTGAAGCCGTAGTTTAGAGCAAACGTTTTCATGCCACGGTCCCCCAAACTGCATTAGCTTCCGGCTGGAGATTCCCATTACAAATCCACAAAGAATGCTTCAAAATATGTCAAGATGCATCAAATTTTATTCACTGTTCAATAATTAATACATTTGTTTAGCATAATTTTATTAACTAACATGTTTTAAATACTTTATTATATTCACACTAAAAAAATCACAAAAAATTGTTTTAACAAACTGTTGAAGATGAGAAAACAAAATAAATCAAACCTCTCTTAAACTCTATTGAATAACTTTCAATGTATTATTATAAATTAAATTTTAAAGCAATGATTGAACTATGGAAGCTGAGAGCGGTCGTTTTCCACATATCATTTTTATCCCATGGTTTTCTTGTGATAATGACATATTATGWTTTTATCACGAGAAAACCATAGAAAATGAATATATGCAGAAAACGGCCGCTCTCAGCTTCCGTATTGAACTTATGGAAGGCTATGCAATACAATATATTCTTGGTCAATTGCCTCTGGAACCTGAAGGATGGCCGAAGAGAGACAAGTACTTGATTAATATCTTATTGGTGGCATAAAAAAAAAAGCTATCACCAAAAAATGGCTTTCACTGATTCAGATCATTTGAAGTGGGGAAAAAGCTGTTAACTGTTAATATTTTACCAGTTGTAGATAGCTCCATGGATGAAAATATATTAATTTCAAYCAGACTGATGAGCTAACCGCTAGTCAGAATTAGACCAGCAACAGGTAATATATTGATTGTTCAAAAGATCTGAACTATTGCTTTAAGTTAATGGCTTATTTTAAAATTTTTTTGGGGGAAATGGGGGGTGGGGAGCATTGAAAACAAAGTGGTTTTGAATATATTGCTCTTGTAGCTGCTCTTGTTGAAATAAAATCTTGTTCTAACTGTTCTTGCTGGTGTCCTTCAGCTGAAGGATGATGAAGTCAGTAAGTAATGGCAAGCTTGAAGGAGTTTGTCTTTTTTTTAATTCAGCCTCTTGTCAAATGGAAGAAAATTTATCAACTTTCAATTTGGTCTTTTCTTGTTTTGGTCACAGTCACAATTATGAATGCCTAAGGTTTTCTTAAACAAGTTTGCACAAAGATAATTAAGTCGAAAAGAACAAATGAAATCATCCTGTTTTTTTATGTTGGTGGAGTCGCTGGTGCAGTTTGTGTGATGGGGCTGATATCTGACAATAACTTTTTTTTTTTACCAACATGTTTCCATGACCAAGCCGCAACAATAAGAAGGAAATCATACAGTTAAAACAGAGATCACTTCAAAGAAACCATGTTCAGAAAAATGCAAATAAAACCTGTGATTATTCTCACAGCCAGAAGGGGGAGATAAAAATATTGCATTGCAAGTTATCAATCTGCACTCAGAGGGAGAGCAGCAGGAATCCACATTTTCTTTCACTTTAGGCTACATTTTCCCYCCCACCATGTTCGACATCAACTTGTCTCTGAACAAATATCAGCGAGGATGAATTACAGTCGTGTAGGAAGTGGAATTTTCTTTTAGACAGCACTGTGACCTTGAATTGTCTCTGTTGTTTACTTGTGTTTTAGTGGGAGAAACGAGGTGCACGTTTGGCCGTGACAGGGAGCATTTGTTTTTCAGGGAGCGCATTTCTTTGCTCTCAGAGCTTCATGCACCGTAGCCGTTTGCCTCCAGCCTCCACCACCACCCTGCTAATGATTCAAATGTTAATGAGCGTCACTCGAAGCAACCTGCTGCCGAGGCATCTGTAATTCCTCCTGTACACATTGTGATCTGKTGGCATTTCTTATCCTCCGTCCTGCTTTCCTCCCTTTTGTTTTGCTCTGTTGTCTCTGTTTGGGAGAGACGAGTGCAACACAGCTGTTCATAAAACATACACAAGCTGAGAGCTAACTGGGTTATTCAGATGAAAACATCTATCACAGAAGACAAAGCAGCTGCTATTGTTCATATTTGACAAAGTGATTTCTTTATGTTTGTGTACTTTCAAGTTATCAATGTCTCCGTCTTTGTTTTTGTCTCTTCCTCTCCTTCAAGTCTGGTTTTCTTTTTGTCACCTAAACTCCATATTCTTAAAAGCTTTTCTCTTGGTGTCACCGACGCTGCTTCTCCTTCACACTCCTCACCTCTGCTTTAGAGACGATGTTTTACATGATTTTCTGCCTTACATTTTGTGCCTGAGGGTAAAGATTTTAACACCACCCTTTATGCCGGAGGTGGAATAAGAAAATGTCAGGGTGCTATTTTAAAACTTATGAATTTCATTATGATGTTTAAGTATAAGAACCAATAATGACCCCAGAAAGCAAAATATGAGTGAATCAACATTGAAATATACAGTGGGTAAAATAAGTYTTGAACACGTCACCATTTTTCTCCGTAAATATATTACTAGAGGTGCTAATGACATGAAATTTTCACCAGATGCCGGTAACAACCCAAGTGATCCATACATACAAAGAAATAAACCATAAATGTCCAGAAATGAAGTTATTTGTAATAATGTGGAATGGCACAGGGAAAAGTATTGAACACATGAAGAAAGGGAGGTGTAAAAAGGCATGGAAAGCCAAGACACCAGCTGAACTCTCTCAGTAATTAGAAAGCAAGCCTGCCCCTTGTCAGTGCAAGTTAATATCAGCTGGTTCAGTCCCAAATGATGGCCAGGTATCACACAAGAAACATCCGATGATGGGTAAAAGTAAAGAGCTCTCTCAAGACCTTCACAACCTTATTGTTGCAAAGCATAATGATGGCATCGGTTACAGAAGAATGTCTAAACTTCTGAAGGTTCCAGTGAGCACTGTTGGGGCCATAATTCAGAAGTGGAAAGAACATTATTTCACCATAAACCGACCACGACCAGGTGCTCCTCACCAGATTTCTGACAGAGGAGTGAAAAGAATTATCAGAAGAGTTGTCCAAGAGCCAAGGACCACTTGTGGAGAGCTTCAGAAAGACCTGGAATTAGCAGGTACATTTGTTTCACAGTTAATACTGGGAGAATATAGTCTGGTCAGATGAGACCAACATAATTTCAAATAATTGAAGGAAGGATGAGTGGAAAAATGTACAGAGACATTCTTGATAAAAATCTGCTTCCATCTACCAGGATGATGAAGATGAAACGTGGCTGGACATTTCAGCAAGACAATGAGCCCAAACACAAAGCCAAGGAAACTCTCAGTTGGTTTCAGAGAAAGAAACTAAAGCTGCTGGAATGGCCCAGCCAATCACCTGACCTGAATCCAACAGAAAATCTATGGAAAGAACTAAAGATCAGAGTTCACAGAAGAGGTCCACGAAACCTTCAAGATTTGAAGACTGTTTGTGGAAGAATGGGCCAAAATCACACCTGAGCAATGCATGCCACTAGTTTCTCCATACAGGAGGCGTCTTGAAGCTGTCATTGCCAACAAAGGCTTTTGTACAAAGTCTTAGATAAATTTCAGTAAGTGTGTTCAATACTTTTTCCCTGTGCCATTCCACATTATTACAAATAACCATTTCTGGACATTTGTGGTTTGATTTCTTTGTATGTATGGATCACTTGGGTTGTTACCGACATCTGGTGAAAATTTCATGTCATTAGCACCTCTAGTAATATATTTACTGAGAAAAATGGTGARGTGTTCAATACTTATTTTACCCGCTGTAGTTAGGCCTGYTATTAAAAGAGTTAAATTTAAGACTGTGTCAGAGTCTATTTGGTCCTTATCTGAATTGGTGTCAATTTAACTCTTTAACTCTTTCCATAGTGTTAAATTTTCAGAGTACAATTTAACTCTAAACAAAGTTAAAAATTAACACTGACTAACACTGTACAGTGTTAATAAAACAACACTTCAAGTCAAACAACTCTGAGAGTAATTATGATTCTAAGCAGAGTTAATAAGGTACTCCACTGTGGTGACAAATCAACTCTGATTCTCATGCTTTTCAACACTGCATTGAGTTATTGACAGTTAACACTGGAGGTTCATATACCTCCTATCAGTGTTAATTTGACACTTGACTGTGTTGATTATTTACTCTTTTGCTGTGTAGAGGGGTGTAAAACAGACAGTATGAAGATTCACAACAAATTTCAAAGTGTGAGTTTAACACTTAAGAGTTAAGATCAACTCTTAGTGTTGCACTAACATTACACAGTAATTTCTGGATAAGTGTAATGGAGTCAACCTTCACACACCAGGAAGTACCTCAAACTCATTGTGTCGATTTATGACCAATAACACAAACTTTAACTTGATCAACTGATAAACCTGTACAAAACAACTAGAACAAACAAAATTTTTCACTCATGAACTTCTTTAATAGTCATAAATATGCAAAAACATCATTTCTACAAGATTACATTGCTGTGAAAATACTGGTCTGTCTGACATGAGGTGGAAGAGGGCTGGGCTTTGTCAGAATACTTTTTTCAACACTGCATGGTGTCATAACAACACTGTTAAGTGTTATATAAAACTTAACAGTGGGGGGAGCTTAATTAACACTAACCAGTGTTGAAACAACATTAGGTTTTCAACCATAACTGATAAACGTTGAGTCGCCATTGATTAAACCATTTATTCAATGATTCAACCATGAAACATTCATTGAAAAACATCTTTTCAACATTGCTTATTTGGCTAGAACTGATTGTTTGATGTTGATTCACCATCAATTGTCAACCTTAACCAAAAATCCACTTTTTTGACCATAACTCAACATCGATTCAACATCTTTTGCTATCTGAGACGTGACAAGACAACAAATGGTTTGCAGGTAAAAATATCCACCTGAATAAACATTTATCCTTATAGATTTTCTGCTAACTGATTTGTAGAGACAGTTACACAAATATTTTCCTTTTTCAAAGTCAATCTTTCTCATCATAACCTCCAATAACTCCTGATTCGAAAGAACAAATGTGTTTTGA